GGAGGAGGATCGACTTCCCTTCTGATCTCAAGGTTGTGTCGGAACCAGCCTCGATGAGGAAGTTGATGACCCTTTCCATAAGCTTTTGTCGCGCGGCAGTGAGTTCGCCGCTATCTGCGCAATGCCGGGCAAGTTCCCCTAGTGCACTCCGGCCTCCGTGAAGAGTACTTGGGAAGTCGGGCTCGTGTCCGTACTGTACTAAGACCTGGCAGGCTGAGAGGTTCAGCTCGCGGGCAGAGTTGTGAAGTGACCCGTCATTGCGCGAAGCGCCAGCAGCTAGTAAGTTGGACATCATCTTGATGGCTGTGTCCCCTCCAACCTCGGTCGATAGTGTGAGGGGTGTGTTGCCCTTCACGTCGCATACGTCCACCTCTGCGCCTTCTAACAACAGCATTTTGACGACGTCCGGTCGGCGGTTCCGGATAGCCAGCATGAGCGGCGTAGATTGGGATATCTTCGACTCAAAGTTGACCTTGGCGCCAGTCTCGATGAGCATCTGCACGATGCCACTGCTAACCTTCTTCTGCGGCTGGAGAAGCGCCCACATCATGAGCGTAACAGCCTCCTCATCAAGGTCTTCCATTACCTTGCAAGGCATCATCTGATCGTAGTAGTAACCGGCATCCAAGAGGGCCTTGGTAATCCGGATCGAGCGCGGGTGCTGCTGCAGGGCAAGGAACATCAAGGGCAATGAGTCAGGTGGTGTATACATGACGTCCAGCCTCGTCTCCCCGTCAGCGTATTCTGTAAACATTGTAATTAATTCAAGGGCGTCGTCTTCCGAGGCCGGATTGTCAAAGATGCGGTAAAATGATCGGGATATGGACTCGGTGTTGGGCTTTTTCTCCAGTAGCCTCTTGACCAAGAAGGAGTTGCAAGCAGCGGCGGCCGACTGCAACAGCTTGCCGTCGGCATAGTTGACATCGACTTTGTGATCGAGCAGGATATCGACGAAGCCGTTGGCGAGTGCCAGGCTATCGGGCTCGCTCTCGGTTAACGGCAGATCGACAACCTGGGTGAGGACGGAGCTGAGACCGTCGCCGTGGGCTCCTTTTTTCAGGAAGCTGTGTAGAATGGTGAAGCCGGCTTCCGAGAACCAAGCGTCCGTGTTCTCCCGGGTGAACCCTTCTCTAATGGCGAGATTGAGATCGGCCGATAAGATTTTGGACTCGAGCATGAAGGCAAGTGGTTTTACCAGGGCTCTCCTCGTAGCGTCGACCAGGGTCTGGCAGTCGTTGGCGATCGGCGAGGCACCGTATCGGAGGAGAGACCGGATAATTTTGAGGTCGAGCTCCTCTTCGTTAATCGCGTTATTCAGTACTACGTGTAAGTCGTCGGAAACAGGCAAACCGGCTCGGAACAGCATATCGATCGCGGCGGCACGGGGTTCGCGACTAAGTTTCCAAGCAGCCCTCAGCGCCCTATTAAGCGTGGCAGGCGAGGGCTTGTGTGGCTTCCTTTTGTTAGACCCCTTTAACGAAGCGTGGGATTTGGCGGAGGCAATGGATCTCAACGAGGCGCTTGATGGTTTACTCACTAGCCGCGTCCCGAGTTCGACCAACCCCAGCATCATTTTCAGACTGCTCAGGTAGGCGCTCCTCGTGGCCGCCCAGATGGCCTCGCCCTTGTTGTAGTTCGGGTCCGCGCCGGCTTCCAGTAGGATCTTGACCAGGTCGTCGCCTTCTTCACCAAACCGGACCGCGGATGCGAGCTGCGCGTCGAGTGCTTCACCTTCTACGCCGTGGACAAGGAGAGGCTCGAGGATGGCGGCCCGCGTCTTGAGGTTGCCGACTTCTGTGGCGGCTTGGAAGCCCCTTTCGATCGTCGATCGCTTGGGTGTGGTGGTGCCGCTGAGCAGCATGTTCAGAACATCGGCGGCGCCCGAGCGACATGCCTCCACGATGGCATCCTCGTCAATCTGCGCCCCATGGCTGACGAGGAGATTACCCAAGACCAGATCACCGTCCGCTGCTGCCGCAAGTAAGGCATCGGAAAGGACGGAGCCTGAAGCTCCATGCTGCAACAACACCTCGCATATCGCCGCCCTTGCTTCTCGGTTAGAAAGAAGAGCCGCCTCGGCGAAGGCATCGTTGAGCACAGGAAGAGGGTGCTTTTGAGCTAGTACGAGTTGAACAATATCAGGACGCTCCTTCTTGACTGCCGAAACCAGGGCCTCTCCATCGCTTGTGTTGGCCTTGGCAGAAAGGGTTCGGAGCAGCGGTATGTCGTTTGTGTAGGTGTTGATAGCGAACCCGAGAGCCCTGTTTACCTCAGCGCTAGGCGCGCCCGCGTCAAGCAACTTCTGGGAGAACTCGAGACGATCCATCGGGTCGGCGATCCGCAGAGCGTGGGGTAAAGCCGATGCGAGCGATGCTGGGTTTGGGCGGGCCGCGAAGAGAAGATCAGTGATTTGCGTATCGCTTGCGGCTACGGCATGGCAAAGAGCGGCGGCGTTGTGGGAGTTGACGTCGGCACCGGCGCTGAGGAGGACCTTGACGATGGATAGTTGTCGATGTTCAGGAAGGGTCTGAAGGAGGGCGTGGACTTCCTTCACGAGAACGTCGTTGAAGGGAGCCCTGTCTTTCGTCTTTTGCAAGAGAATCTCAAGCTTGGCGGCCTTGGTATCTGAGAAGATGAGTTGCCCAAACTCGCTGACGGCCCTGCTGACCGTTGCATGTGAAGGTTTGCCGTGCATGAGCAGTGTCTCTAGGACTGGAGGGTCATGGCTGTGGATTGCTGTTACGAAAGATTAGCATCTCTACTATTCCCCTCAGCTAACAATCACTTACCGGAAGCCATGGCAATGCCGTTGTCAACGTTGACATCGGCATGCCCCTGCACCAACAACACTTGCAGAAGCTTCAGATCAGCTGGCCGATAGTTCAACGCGTTGAGCATTGCCTGTGAGACCTTGACCGGGTCCAAGTCCGGCACCGACGTCAAAAGCAGCGTCGCCATATCCAACCTCGCCTTAGCATCCTGGGTCGCAATGATCCTTGGCAGTACGCCAGCGGCAGTGTGAGGTGTCACATTCTTCTTGAGCAGCGCATTGAGCAGTCTCACGTCTTTTTGTGACACCGCAGCTACTAAAGCTGAGCCCTCGTTGGTGTTGATATCGGTGTTGTACTTGAGAAACAGCCCGATGAGATCTTCGTCGCGGTGTGGTGGCTCCTCGTCGATGGCCTCCTGTAACGCGTCGTGAACGATGGGTCCAGCGAGACCGCTCGTGAGGAAACACTCCACCATGCGATACCTGTTTTTCCGTGATAATGTCTTGGTGAGAGGGAAGATTTGGGCTAATGTATCGCTTGATGGTTTGCTCATGAGAAGCTCCTTGGCCATCGCCGCATCACTTCTCATGACTGCGATCTGCAGAGCCAAACCGCCCTTGTGGTCGACGGATGCCGTTTGATGGCGGTCATACACCATTGATCTCGGCCCTTTCTTCACATCATGTTCGGCGATGGGACGTCCTCCAGGGAAGACGGCTGTGAGAAGAAGCTTGGCTGAATCGACGTCGCCTGCCTCCGCCGCCTCAATGAGCATGTCATGCAGCGCAGTTCCGTTTGCCCCTCTCCGTAACAGCAAATCCAACAATAACCGACGGCTCTCTACGCCCATATTTTTCGGTATGAGCTCGACACACTCGGAGGCATGTGTTGCACTTAGTTCCGCATTGCCACTGAGGATGATGTGCGCGACGTCTACCCGTCCATTCTGAACAGCTTTCCGAATGGCCATTGCGTCCTGATACTCTATTGAGACCCCATACTTGACTAGAAGACTGACCATGTCTTGGAATTCTGCAGCTGCGGCGTGGATGAGTGCCATGGCGGGTGCATCGCCGTCTGTGCCGGCGCAAAGTAGTAGTTCGGCTACGGCAAGCTTGTCTCTTGGGTTCATCGACGGGTGATCTAACAAATTTGAGAAAGCCTCATCCAGTCCCGGGCGTTTCGGCGGATGGTTCCCCATGAGTATCGCAAGAGCAATGTCGTGACGTCCCTGGCTGATCGCGACTTTGAGCGCCTCCGCTTGGTTGTAGTCGCCGTCGGCATTAGATCGACTCAGTTGTAGCACCGTTTCCAAACACCCTGCCTTGGTCGCGTCCACCATGCACTGCGAGAGCCACGAAGTCGGTGGCCGGCCCTCAGACCGGAGAACGATTCCCACCAAGTCCGCCTGTCCGCCCGCCGCGCACGCCTGGCGGAACGATTCCTGAGCCTCAGGGCTATGCGCTACCCCGGCGCCGTAGCGGAGAAGAAGCTCGACGACTTCTACGTTTTCAGACTGCATGGCGACCGGTAATGAGGCGTCCAGGGCAAATGTATCGGCGTGGGGTAACAGGACCTGAATCATGTCGATCTGGCCATTGTGCACGGCGTGCTGCAATAGCTTACTCCGCTCGCCGAAGCTGTCGAGACTTTTCCTTCGAGGCAGGATACTTGTCTTTGCCTTTTGCGCCATGTTGACATCGCCGCCGGATGAGACGAGCTGTGTGATGAGAGCCTCCGCCACACCGGGCGATCCGCTGTCGGCGACATGCTTGTCGAGGGTGTCGAAGACGACCTTGTAGTCCCACGACTTCTTCTTCCCCGTGAAGGCGCGCCGCAAGTTAGTCGTTGATTCTGTGCGGCCGTGTGACATTTGCTTGCGCTTGAGCAGCTCCTCGGCCTTGAAGTCGTCCTCCGGGGTCCGGAAGCTGGGGGGGCTGGAGGGCCGCGTCAGGGGCGTCGGTGACGGCGGGGGCTCGAGACCCCATTCCTCCGCAAACTGGATGATCCGCCGCTGGCGATCATCCTCTGTCGGCGGAGTCGGCATCGGGGGCGAGCCGGGGGGAGAAGATAGGAACGGAGACAGTTTGGCGATATGTTATACGGCGGTGACCTGGCCGTATGGTGCTAGGGAAAGAGAGGACGGGGAGAAAAGGAAGAAAGGGAAGGGATGAGAAAGAGCTGTGAGCGGATAGCTCTCGTGAGGGTAAGGTTGAATGAGGCGGAGTGCTACGTGAGATGAGCTGAGAGAAGAGAGATAGAGAGAGAGAGAGGAGACGTGCGGCGCAAAGTTTCGTTTTCGTCCCAAGATGATGTTGCACGCTCAACGGCAGAGGGACGGCGGAAAAGACGGCCTATGGCCCGGTAGCAGTGTTGGGCGGAATAGCATGAACGAAGGAGGTGAGAACAAGCATCCAGGATCGATGGTAGGCTGACATAAAGAGGATACAAAGTGTGGTGGTAGTGGCGATTGGCGGTGGTGGAAGAAGAGACGTTGGATGAATGGACGGATCGTTCGTTTGGGAGGCCTGGGAGGCTTCTGTCTGGGGTTCGCGGATGTTCGGCCCAGAACGACTCGTATCGTATCAGCTGTGCCCTCCTTGGGAAGAGGCCAGACGGGAGATGGCAGACACGGGTTGACCGCAGAGCTGAACTCAAAAGAAAGTGAGGGTGGGAAAAGTAGAATGATGCAAGCCGGGTTGAGGCAGAACGGACAGTTCTCTGACGGCCAGCCGCAGCAGAAGCAGCAAGCAGCAAGCAGTAGCAAGCAGTAACACGATGCGTAGCCCGTGTCCTTCTGCAGAGGCGTTAAAAGACGCGGGTGTGGTGACCTTGGGAGTGAACGGATAGAAACTCGAGGCGAAGCACACCGCACAAAAGACGTCGGCGAAGAAAGATCGAAAGGTCCAACGCTCAGAGGGCAGATAGCAGGGGTCGCGGGTTGAGTTGAGTTGAGGTATCCCGAGGTCCTAAGCCTTGTGGCGACAATGCGTCGCGTTTCAGCAGGGTGGAGTTCAAGTTTTTCGTCTGTTCGTCCTTTTCTCTCTTTTTTCTCTTGGAGAATTTGCTTGGAGACTTGCCCACTTTGGAGGCTGGTCCCCTAGTCTTTTCCAGATACGAGTGTCACAATAGAAAAACGGTTAGGGTGGCCGGGACCTCTTTTAGGAGTTGGAGCTCGGGAGCGACAAGCGTGACAAGCGTATCCGTAGGCTAGGCGGTTAGCGGACAGGTCGAAGGAAGGGTGTGGCTGGGGGTTTATGAGGTCGGACGATGGCAGGGCCCTTGAAGCTTGACCAAGGGACAGTGACGTCGATCAAGATTGATGAATGAGACCGTCGGCCTTTTTTTCCTGGACGTAGTCGTGATGAAGCTCCGGACTGGCAATAATTAAAGGGGATATCGCAGTTGACTGAAGCTCGGATAGCTAGGGGTATCCCCCCTGAGAGTGGATATGATTGACAATTAGAGGCAATGAAGAAAATGGAAATTCAACAGCAGCATGGGCATAGGGAGAGGATAAACGGCAGAAAAAGTTGGAGTATGGATAGTCATCCGCCCAAAGCCAGTTATGCTAACAAGCCTCGAGAGGCCAGCCATTCCTCGTTTAAGCTTGTCGGGCGACCCGGGGGGGCAGCTGCCGCCAGCGCCGACGCATGTGAGTGGTGAGGATAAATGGGCTCGATGAGCAGTCGACGCGAACGTGGCAGGGCATACGCGGACACGTTGACGATCCCTGGGTCGCTGAGAGTCCCGTACGAAGCGTGGAGGCGTATGGGGTGGAGAGGTCAGAGAAGCAGGAAAAGGCGGAGGAGACGGCACAGAAAGTGGAGAAGATGAAGGAGTCGAGCTACGGAGGAGGGGACCGAAGAGTCCGTTGGAGTACCCGAACGTCTTCAAAACCTCAACTTGAATCTCAAGTCCTGGGCCAAGTCTTGGGCCAAGAGTTGCCGAGACTCCAGACAGAGAAAGTAATCACTCATACGGACAATGCTAGCCAGGTCTCACGTTTCTCAATTGCCTGTTGACGCAGACAGCAACTCAATGGATCTATGTATTAGAACCAGTAGTAGCATGTGCTTCCGCTGATTATCTCTCGGGGCCGAGGGCAGAAAGACTCCAAAGCCAAGGAATGCATGGTCACCAAGTGGCTCTTCGTTTGACCCGAGTAAGGTATCCATACAGGTAGTCTGAGAAACCCACCCAAAGGCCTATGCTCCAAGATTCTGGGGCAAGATGAACCGGTCCCCGATTGTTTGAAGGACAAGAAGGGACAACACAGGCGCCGCAACAACTCCTGACCCCTGACAGAATGGTCACCATTCCATCGAGGGAAAAGAGGCACGAAGCATCCTGGACGGATAGCACGAATAGGTCATCGACGGTACGGTGTAGGTATCCGTAGATAACCTTGCAAACTGCCTTGCCGTTCCGGCCACCTGGCTGTGCGTTCCCGCTTTGGGTTTGCTCAACTACCGTAAATCTACATACTGTGTGGCGTTCGACGCATCAGCCCACGCGCAAAAGAAGGCTAAGAAAGTTCTTCTGCCGCCCTTCTCTTACGTGGCGTGCATGGCCGAAAGATGGCTGGCACACACACACATACACAATGCCCGCAGCTCATTCGTCTTACCGAAACATTCCACCGTAGAAACAAATGCACGCTAGGTACAACGCTGCTGTACCTTCGCAGTTAGACCAAGGTACACACAGAAGCCAAGCCGGGCTGAGCCTCATTGAAGACGCCATCGATTGCGTCCAAAATGTTGGCCTTTTTTGACGCGTCCTGAGGTCGATTGGTGAAGGGAAAATGTAACCCACACGCTGAAAAAAGATGCGGTGACAGGTTTGATATAGCCATGTACGGTATGCTAAGAAGAAGCCAAGTGATCAAGACCAGGACTGATATATAGGATGGATGAGATCATCAAGAAGGGTGGAAGGGTGCCGACAAGTCTGAAAAGGTCACATCTAGAATGTCACCGCGGGAAGAAGAAATGAACCCCAGACAAAAACGATTGGCGATCATCCGGGTGCCCCGACGCATTGCTGTCCGCACTCAATCCGAGTCTTGGCAACTGACTAGCTTCAGAGATTCCCCGACTTTGGGAGGGAACATGCTGGTTCACCTCTTGATGCTTGACAACTAAAAGATCCAACTCGTTTCTCCCCCGTGCAAGTCCACGATGAACTACATCAACCCATCCACCATGAATGAACGACGGTGAATAATGCCGTGATTACCGACCCAGCTGCGGTGGCGTGTCGTCCAGAACCGGGCGCCTGTCATCTCTGCTCCAGAGACTACCTGGCAGCATCACTGCCCGCACTGCCGCCGCGACCAGCGGTTCATGCCAAGGGTGTTGAGGTGGTCAATCCATCATCAGACCTTCAAGGTTTGCAATGCAAGGCCGTGGATGAAAGCGCTCGAGCACTGCTGTGGTGTCAAGTGGGTGCCCAAACGGTTTACTTTCTACTTTACGATCTTGCCACTACTTATCTTTGCTTTGTTTGAATTAGTTTTTCTCCCTACCAAATGCATAGTTTGCAATAGGCATCAAGCTCAATTAGTGTAACAAGGGGATAGTAGTGTTGTGGTTAGCTCGGTATGCATTAACTGGCGACACATTTTCTCATCCACCTCAGTGTATCGCAAGTCTTCAGTTCAACCCACAATGCCTCCTGATTTCCCTCTTCCATTAGATGCTCGAATTTCAGTGCTTGGGTGGTTGCCTTTTCTCCTTCACACTCGATGCAAGCTATGCAACTTTCGCAGTGAGTCGAGTAAAGAGTCCCGCTCTCTTAGTCCATAGCGATAGTTATCATACTCGATTGACCATCAAATGCACCAAGACCAGGTCTTTGAGACAATGTGATCAGTGATCATAATGATCATATTAATCGACTGATGGATGATTGTCGAAAGGTTGGAGCACTCCGCAATGAAATGAATGAGCATATGATGTGAAGCACCCCATCTCTCAATCTCACTCTTACCCTTCATAGCCCTCTTCTCATACTCACCCTCACTCTCATACTCATCCTCACTCTCACACTCTCATCCTCACTCGTACACGACCGGCAAAGATCTCATCCACCTTTCACTGACAGCTGTCCGCCCATCGGAAAGCCGACCCCTCTCTCACCCGTCACCCGAACGTAGCCGCCTCCGGCCCCCCGCCCGCCCCTCATTGCCGACCTGAGAAGGAAAAGAACCCCGCCATCGTCACCCAAAGCTCATAGCTCTTACGCGCCAGAACAGCTGAAGCATTTCTAATCACGTCTTATGGGAAAGAAAGCCCCCCCCCTCCCCTCACTTCATCGGAACGCTGACTAAACCACAATTGTGACCTCAAGCGCAATCGGAAGCTATTCCAATACTGCGTATGAGTAAACGCCCCTCCGTCGTCCCATAGGTTACAGACTAAAAATAAAGAAAAAGAGACTGAGACCTCTCCTCCCATCGCAAATGTCCCAATTCCTCATCTCGCGACCCTTCACATCCATCCGCACCCTCACCAGAAGCTTCAAACCCACACCAATCCTCACCACCCTCGCCGAATCCACGCGAATCCTCCCATCACAACCCTTCCTCAAGCAAACTCACCACCAAACCCGCACTTTCACCCCATCACCAACCCGCCAAACCTCCCTCTCCCCAGCCCCGCACTTCACAATGGCCTCCTCCCTCCCCCAAACAATGAACGGCATCCAAATCCCCCGCACAGGCGGCACAGAAGTCCTAACCCACCACACCGACCTGCCCCTCCCCGCCCTGGCCGAGAACCAAGTCCTCGTCCGCAACGAATACGCAGGCATAAACTACATCGACACCTACTTCCGCACCGGCCTCTACAAAGCGCCCCTCCCCATCACACCCGGCCGCGAAGGCGCCGGCACCGTCGTCAAGTCCCACCCCTCCGTCTCTGGCCAGTTCAAAGAAGGCGATCGCGTGGTCTACATGGGCCCCTTTGGCTCCTACTCGGGCTACTCCGCCGTCAACGCCGCTCAGCTCCTGCACATCCCCGACGCGCTGGCCACGGATAAAGCCGCCGCCGCGCTCCTGCAGGGTCTCACGGCCTGGACTTTCATCCGCGAGGCGGGGGAGGTGAAGGAGGGGGAATGGGTCCTCGTCCACGCAGCCGCCGGCGGCGTCGGGCTGCAGCTCGTGCAGATGCTGCGCGCCGTGGGCGCGAGAGTGATTGGCACGACGAGCACCGATGAAAAGTGCGCGCTGGCCAAGAAGAACGGCGCAGAGTTCATTGTCAACTCGCGCTCGCAGGACCTCGTGGAGGAGGTGGCAAAGATTACGGGCGGGCACGGCGTGGATGTCATCTTCGACGGTGTTGGAAAGGCGACGTTTGATAGCGATATCGAGATGGCGGCGCGTAAGGGGAGGTTGGTCGTCTTTGGCAACGCGGTAAGCTCTTCATCAAACATTCAGACGTGGTCTGCCAGTCTAGTAGCATCGCTAACATATTCCTCCAGTCGGGAGCTGTTCCTCCTTTTGACATCCTCAAGCTGGGTCCCAAGAACTTGAAGGTCATGCGGCCCATTGTCAACGGCTACACTGCTACCAGGGAGGAGCTGGAAAAGTACAGCACGGAGCTCTTTGACATGATTACCTCGGGCAAGGTGGAGGTGGCCATCCACAAGGCGTACCCGCTCAAGGACGTCAAGCAAGCCCACGAGGACCTGGAGAGCCGCAACACGACGGGGAAGCTGATCCTCAAGGTGGATTGACTAAACGCACTTCTATGATATTGATGAAAGCGGATCAACCAGGGGGTGCTGCGAGGG